GTTAATCAAAGATAGTGCGGATCTGTGTCCAGTGACCCCATCGGTCGACGACGCCTCACTTTGCCAATTGTCGACTTCATTATACAAAAACGGTTATGTAGTCGTCGCAACTTCACTCGAAATTTACATATCGTAATATACTGTAGTGCTTAGCGAGTTTGGCTGATGAATGAGATTTGCCAACTCACGCCCCGGACTCAAAATTGCAATTACTGTGCTGTTCTGACTCGCAATCGGAGGATAAGCGAAATTATAGAGAGAGCAAAAACCGCATCTTCTCCAATAAGTAGCAATTAATACAAGGTGATTCTTTTAGGGCCTATATTAGAAACTTTTTAACCTCTAATGCAAATAGAAATTTGAAATTTTGTACATAACTCAAATCGACCAGTCTAAGTTCAATTAAATTATTTTCAAAATGGCTGAACTTCCGGAACCACGAGAAATTGACGCCAACTTTGAAATTTTAAATGGTAACCACTTATTTTTATTGCATTTTTGAATTCTCCTCTCCAAACTGAGTAAAATGTAACTATACTCTATTTCAGTTGATAGTAGAATTTGATAAACAGGGTTTTTAGCGGTTTTACCAAAGTTGTGTTGACTCTCATAGCCATGATTTTCTATTTTATTTTTTGAAGATGGCAGTACTGTTTTTTTCCGTCACATTGAAATTAAAGGTTATGTACGACCGTGTTGGGGTTTAATAAAGTTTTTTGTACACGTTTTTATTTTAAATTGAAATAAGAGATCCTAATAAAAAAATACAAATTAACTCACAAAAGTAACAAAAACAATTTTAATACTTTTTATTGTTACAAATTTAAACAGGAGATGAATATTCATTTTTAAAACAAAAATTTTCTATGAACATATATCGAAAAATGCTACGCAATGGGCGTCTTTTAATAGGTTTTTTTTCAATATTTCCGAAATCATTTTAGAAAAAAATTTCAAAATTTGCTACAGATGATAACTTTTATACACCTAAACAAGTACAAAAATAAAATGTTGAAATTTTTAATTAGGTGCTTCCTAAACTAGATGGGATTAGGGTAAAAATTTACTCTAACTATTTTGCCTGTGGTTTCTTGCCACTTTCAGCAACAAAATTTCATAGTTTTTCATAAAAAAAAGGTCTTTTGGGTTTTTCCGATACAATTTACGGATTTTTAGTAAAAATCGGTTCAAAAATTTATGTCACAGACCATAAACAGCATAAAAATTAAAAATTAAATTTGTTTTACCGTTTAGGACGCCCCTAATTAAAAATTTTGTTATTTGGCATTTGTTTGGGTGTACATATAAAGGTACCAAATTTTGTAATTTTATCTATTCTGAAATATTAGGAAAAACCCTTTAAAAAACGTACCTTTTTTAGGGGGTGTAGCTCCTTTTCATAGCATTTTTCAAAACACTTTTATCTTAAAATTAAATATTCTATTAACTATTTAAATTTGTACCTAACAATAAGAATGAAACACTGTATAATTAACACATGAAAAATTTATTCACAAAAATTTAAAATTAACTCATTAAAATAACAAAAAAACTAAATTTTTAACACTTATAACACTATATAACAAAGTGCTCAGCATTTCGGGGTACGGCCCTGATTCAGAACATTCAAGTAATAAAATATATTTTAAGCCGAAGCTTGTTTTTGGATGGTACATCAGTGAATAACTCCGATTATCTCCGATAAAAAAGTGTCGATCAAGTTAAAAGTTGGAACACCAAACCCAAGTCCAAGAATTCTGTTCAACACGTTGATCGAACCTCTGATATGAAAGATTTGTAAGAAGGAAAGCATATTCTTGCTAGAATCTGTTAATCATGTCCATGGTGTTTGTGGCAGTTATCAATTTACAAATAAAATTTTTGAATGTTGCGCAAAAGGTTGGTTCTTCTTAATAAATCAAAGATCGTTATTGATAATAACAAACATTTTAGCCACATCCATAGTTTTAATTAACAAAATAGGTATAAAACATACCTTGCACCTTGTATGTCCAAGGGTGACAAAGGAAACCCTTTGTGGCGCAGTGGAAAACCCTCCAAATTTTCCGTACATATTTTATTGTTGAAGATTGTTTTGTTACCTTTTGGTAAATTTTAAAGGTTTGTTAAGTACTAATAGTTAACAATCACAAATTTAGTTTTGTGCTTCAGTCGTAGGAGTTTGTGATACAACGTGTTTTGGTGTTGCTATGTTGGAGGATTAGCATAATTCTTTATTGTGACGATAGTTTTGCAGTTTATCAAATCATTTAAAAGAAAATTTTGCTCCTACGAATAAGGTCACAAGCCGGCCTATCTAGGGGGAAGCAAACTCAAGTTGATCCGTTCACATTCTACTGACGTTGCCTGCAGATGCTTCTGTCTAAGTTGATTATGTCTGATAGATTTGTAATTACCTATCATGAGTAAATTTAAAATAAATGTATTTTTTCTTATACCTTCAAGTTATTTAACCAAAATTGGAGCTCAATAAAACTCGCTCAAATACTATTCAAACACTCATGTTTTGGGTTGTTTTAAATATCCAAATCGAATCGGATGTATTGTAGTCCCTTTAGTTTCCGTTAACAAGCAAATCAATTTTAATAAATAAACTCAAGATTTACTAATTAAAACACTCACATTTCGTAGATTGTCAATAAATGTCAAAATGCTGTCAAAAGTGATCTGTGTATTTGTCAAGGTTACTTCGTTGTGCATAAAAGTTGAGTACACTCATAAATTGTGACCTTGAGAATTCACTGAAATATAGTGTAGTTGTTAGTACTTATCTGTCATAGTTTTTGGCATATGTCAATTTTTTGCTCAAAATTTTTATTTGCAGAGGTTTATTAAAAACATCACAGCTCTTGAACCGTTTGCAATAAGTAAATAATTTTTCTTGGTTTTGGTAACCAAAGGTTCGAAGAGTTTCCTAAAATTTTCAAAATTGTCAACTGTCGAATTGCAAAGCTTATATGATTTTTTGAAAATGATATTTAACAAACAGCTAAAAAGTACATCGATTTGGAGAAGGACTTTTATCAACATGTCCTATATCCATCTCTTATAGTTTCTGAAATAATCACGAAAAACGTGTTTTTGTTTTTTATTTTCATAGTAAATCACGTAGGTTTTGTCAAATGATCAAGACGAATTAAAGATTTATTAGTCTACACAACACCCATCCGGAATTACAAAGAATTGAGGCAAGGATTGAGGCGGCATTTAATAATCTTCAATCAAATGAACTAGAAGCCACTCAAATCAGTTCACCATCGAGTTTTGGACTGTTTGAAAATGGTAAACATATCGAACATCTGTATTAATTATGGTATATCTTATTGTATTTTTCCAAAGCCTTCGTGATTAACTATAAAAATAAAAACATTAACAAGTTTTTTGTGATTATTTAAAAAACTGTAAGAGATAGGTATAGGACATTCATTTCATTTGAAAAAAACTAAGTTATAGCTGTTTGTTAATGATCATTGTAAATGATCATTTTCAAAAAATCATGCTAGCCTTGCAATTTGACAGTCGACAATTTTGAAAGTTCTAGAAAACTTTTCGAACCTTTGGTTTTCGAATGCAAAAAAAATATTCACTTATCGCAAAGGGTTCAAGAGCTGTGATGTTTTGAATGAACCCCTGCAAGTGAAAATTTTGACCAAAAAATTGACATATGTCAAAATATACTAACAACTAGGTACATTTTACTTAGTCTAAAAAGGGGAATACAAAAATGCAATAAACATAAGTGAAGACCATTTACAATTTCAAAGTTGGCGCCAATTTCTCGTAGTTCCGTAAGTTCAGCCATTTTGAAAATAATTTTGTTGAACTCAGACTGGTTGATTTGGGTTGTGTACAAAATTTCAAATTCCTATCTGCATTCGAAGTTAAAAAGTTTCTAATGTAGGTCCTAAAAGAATCACCTTGTATAAATCAACTTCATATTTCGTCGAATATTAAATATTATACAAATCAGAACTCTGCGAAATAAAATAAAATTATATTAAATAATAATAAAATAAATAAATAATAACAAAATAAAAATTTATTAAAAACAACAACTTTTTAACAACATTATTTAATTTTTTTGTAAAAATGAGTATACCTATTGGATTAGAGCAGATACACTGCCCGGAGACGTGGTGGCGCAGCGACACTATTTTTTAGAGAGGGGAGGAAGGTGTTAACAAATTTTTCCTTTTTTTATTTTGTAAATTGCGGCAAAACTGTACCTCAAGGATATACACTATGTCTTCGGATTGGGTTTACAAGAGGAAAAAAAAATTATCTTACTCCAAAACTGCAAAGGAAAAGAGTTTTTGCTTTACTTGAAACCAGCAAATCTGTAATTAAAACTTCATTATTCTAACTCAGTAGAAAGAAAAGTTCATTTTTCTCTTGATTTTGGACTTTTTAAGTCTTGTCACATTGGCTGTTTTAATTATTTGACAACTATAGGTCACTTTGACAATTCATTTATTAATTAAATAATGATAGTTTTTGTTAAATGACTTTGGTTTTTACCTTAAAGCTGTTTCTTTGAGTTTCTGTTTATTAAAATTATGTTTTTCACAAAGATTTTTGTTATTTAACTTGCGTAAACTTATTTGTCAAAGTGACATCATTGTCAAAATAATACCTGATTTTTAACGCTAAATAGAATAATTTAAAAATTTTTAGGTTTAAAAAGGTGTACAATAAAATAGGTAAGGTTTAGACCTCCGAACCCTAGGTTTTTTAGAAAGCTTATTAAAAGCTTTACACAATAAAGTAATAACATACAGGGTGTTTTATTTGAAAAAATCAAGGTAATTGATTAACATTTCAAGGACAAGTACACAAAATGGAGAATTTACGTATTACGTCGTTCTTCTGAAAAGTTACTCTGAAGAGTTAATGTATTAATTTATTATTGATCAAAATAGAAATAAAAACACAAGTCTRCACTCTTAGAAAGTATATTAACTACATTTCCTTATTAGCAATTATTTTACTCATCCAATATGTTCCTTGTACAAAAGAATTTCGTAAGAATAAGCCGTTAATTCTTTAAAATTATAATTATAAAACATGGGAACATCTGTTTCGTAAAACGTATCAATTTTTCCTATTTTAAAGCCTCCGTTAATWTTTATTCTTCCAATGTTCAGTTCTCCCAATCCATCTTCATGACCACCACGCACTGCAATATTWTTAACCAGTAGCTTGTGCACGTTTTTAGAATYTGTTGGAACCCAATGTAAATTTTGTTGAAGGCCACAAAGTATCTAGAAAATAATAGTAGATAACATATCGAGGTTCTAATAAACACAGGCAAACCGCCTAGGGACATTTTTTAAGGTTGGCTATCGTTACTCGTTACCGAGGATTTTAGAATCAACAACAAGCGAGTTATGCATCGAGAGATTAGAATTCCCTAGCTGAACCTAATATTTCTAATCAATTGTTATCAAGTTATATAAAGTTGAAATGTCATACTTTCCATCTTCCAACATACAAGATAATTTGATTATTACTTTATGCTTGTGAATAAACGAATAATCAAAATAAAACTATGCGTTTTTTTGACTATTATATTACCTTTATATTCTCGTTTACTTTTTGTACTTTAGCATGCATTATTGGAACATAAACTTCTTTTATTCCATCAAATATTTCACAGACTACGTCACCTTGGTTTTGTATATATGCTTGTCCGATATAAACGTTTCTACCGTCTTCAGCTTTACCTCCGACTACAGCATCTATGGGCACCTCACCATCAATGTAATCTCGCCAATAATAATCTAAAAATCAACCAATAAAACGTTACATTAACATATAAATTTTATTAATCATAACTTAACCATGAAGACATAAACACTGACGACTGATACTTAAGAGAAATATAAATAAGAGGAATGAAAAGCGAAACATTTTGTTCGAAAAAGAAAAAACAAGTACTGGTAATTTGCAATTTCCTATTGTTTATATATATTATTATATGTAAATAAACAAAGTTGATAAAAAAGTTTGATTTTTTTGACAATCTATAGATCAATATCTATACATATTTTTTTTTGTAAATAATTTTACCAAAACAATGTTATCTATCTTATAACGTCAAGTCGTACTCTTATTTTGGAGTGTTTTCATTAATTACATAATAACATATGAACATGCGGAATAATAGAGAGTGATTCAGGAAGTATAGACAGGGTGATTCAGGAGGAATAATGAACCTAACCAAATTTTTGATGCTACATTAAAAAAAAATGTAGTTTATTGAATTCACGATGCCTATTAACAGATGTTTTTTTTTTTTTAATTTGGCGTCATCGTTGGCGGTGATTTGAGTGTGTTGTGAACGGACCACAATTTTTAATACCGGCTGTCCCAGGCAAGAAATTTTTAGTTGTTAATATTTTGTAAATTGTATCTCAATCATTTAATATTTTGACCTAGACATATGTGAAATGTTCCGGGGAATCGATTGGCGTCAAAAAAATTGCAAAATTCGTAATAGTTTGGAAGTTATAATCGAATTTATATTTTCGCCATTTTTGATTTTTTAAGAAATTTTCTCGATAACTATTTATTGTAGAACACTGATCTTTTTTGTATATGATAGAAAATTAAATTTTCTTTCCAACGGTGTCAAACATAAGAGTTATCACCAATAAGTCGGGAGTTATTGGCAATAGACCGTCCGGGTGCCAAAAATCGACCAAAATCTCGACAGGAATTAAAAAAAATTCTACTTTAAAATTGTTAAGAGTAAGGCTAAAGCTCTATTCCGATTCTGACCAAAAAAATCAAAAATATTTGATTCGTAGTACTGTATGTAAAATTAACGGCACAATTCGCCTGTACAAATCGTTTTGATCTATGATATATAGTTTTCAAGTTATTATAGTTTTTTTTTACACTAAAATTGGCTGTAGATCTGGAACCGTAACCCGGAGCTTACGCCAGCTTCGCACAGAACACAAAATTGGATCGATTAAGTACTTGTTTTCTAAGTCCTACACATTTAATATGAAATATTCTTTAACATAAGGTTTCTGTTTCACACCAAAATGTTAGTTTTTATTGATTTCTGAGGTGTAAAGTAAGTGCTTATCATTTGGATATATTAGGCCCACTTCAATATTTTTTTTTCATATATCGAAATATTTGACTACCTGCAGAAACATCTCATGTCAAAGAAGGATCCTTTAAGGTTGGTACAGAAGAATTACCAACATTGTTGTTTCTCTGATAATTGTTTACTGTGCCAAGTAGAAATACCTTTATTTAAGCTGATTTTTACACAGTTTTACGCAATCAGGTATACTTCAGCACGCGCCCCATGCTACAATATAATTTACCGAGCTTAAAGGTAGCGCCATAAGAACAGAATCTGCTTCACCAGTGAGCGACACTTTTGAATACTGTAATTTTTTAATTTCTGAAATTGCAATCATTTCGAATGAATAAAACATGTTTCGAAAATTTAGCCACTCACTTGTTTTCTCTGAAAATGTTAGTAAGGCGAGGGTTGGTAATTTTACTTGAATTTTATTAACTCTTGTTGTTTTAATGTCAACATGATTTGTTTTTTGATTTGTATTTCGTGAACCATTTGGAAATTTATTAGAATTAGGCTTAGAACCATTTGGCGATTCATTTAAATTAAACCATATACGTGTACGATACGTTCGCAATAAAAGTGCGAATTATTCTTATGATAAGGTTTATTAGAATTCTCTAAAAACTCTAGCTCACCAACGTTATAAAAACGTATAAAAGAGGAACCTTCTCCAAGCAAAAATATTTTGAGGAGCCGGCCTAACCGGTTTCGCTTTATTCAAACATCATTAGAGACTATTTTCCCAAATTACAAAGTAGCCTCTAATGATACTTGAAGCTTTTAAATAAAGCGAAACGGGTTAGGCCCCTTAATCCTTAAAATATTTTTACCAAGTAATTTTACAATTTAAGATATTAGGGCAGTGTATTTACGTATTATACAGGGTTATTCATAAATATGAAGCAATATTTGAACCTCAAAAATGACCTATAAAATGATGTTAATTTAAATAATAACTCGTGTCCTATCTCTTCTTAAAAAATATTTACAGCCCTCGGAATGTGGGTATGGAAATTTGATTTTTTTGTAATAACTTTGGAACTATTTGACCAAATATTATAAAATTTGGAACATTTTCTTGTAACAACTGAACTGGTAATCACGAAAACCGGATACATCCACTCAATTTCCGGTTACAGCAGTTGCAGGTCACATTTTATGTGTTTTTCCATTTTTTTGCCCTCTTAACACCAATTTTTTATTGCCCAAATCGATAGAGTAATCAATTTCGATTAAAAAACGCATAACGTTTACTACCTCTAAAATGGACCGTTTCAAAGATATTTTAATTTAAACTGAAGACTGCACAACGCTGAAATCAAAAAAATAGGGATTTTGAATAAGTGGTATCCACGGAAACCAATGACCATGGTCACCTAAATTGCTGCCAGGCATCTGTTAACTTTGACGATAAATTTTTGTGAATTTTTTATGAATGAAATGCTACGAGATCCATTTGGATTTATTCTAAGTTATGTTTGGAATCTGATGTAAACTCTTTTATTAAATATTTTCGATTAATTGTCTAATAATCGTCCAATGTCAAAGTTGACAGATGC